AAAATTACAGTTGCAAAAGGATTAAGGCGCCAATCAATCAAGGTTCTGGCGCAGGAGCAGGAAAGAGCGCACGAGCGTGCAGAGCAGCGTCCCAGAAAAGCAGGAATTCCAAAATTCCAAAATTCCTAGCTAGCCTGCCGAAAAGGTCCGAAGAGAAAATCAAAATTCCGAAGGCCGTATGGCTCCGACCAAGATTCGAAAAGAAAATTCAAGAAAGAAATTCAAAAGAGACACCGAAATTCCCGCGCGATGTCTGCGCGCCCAAAAGTTCGACAAAACAAAATTGAAAGAAAAGAAGAGACGTCAATGTTTATTAATCACGCACTCGGCGCGCACTCCGCATCCGTCCAAGTTTCGCCCCCTTTTCCCCGCGTATTCCCGAATTGTCCCCAACTGTCATCAGCGGCTCGTGCGAGAACAAAGAAACAACAAAAAAAAGCAAGGACACACATGCAATTTTCCATCAACCCATCCAATCGATGTGGGACCCCGCTAAGCACTTTGCGCCGAAAGTCGCGCATTACAGAAGCTAGTTCGTCACAAAGCCATGTCGGATCACATAGCGGAAGCATATGACTTGGAGGCGTCGGAGGCCATCAGGAGGAGGCTTGTTGGCCATGTCACCCATCATGCCAGAGTGCATGGGCCCCCGGCTCCAAGTCTGTGGCTGTGACGCCATCATCTTGGCGGGTAGGGCAGAGAGGGATACATTCGAACTGCTAGATGGATATACGGACACATAGATAGACAGATTGATAGATTGATAGATTGATAGGTAGGCAAAAGCGGACATACATGGAGAGGCCGATTATCCGATGTGCGGCATCTGTGCTGCATTCTTGTCATTGAACAACCTGTGACAATCTTCGTTGATGATTCCATTGCATCGTAGTTTGCAGCTCTCTATTTTGTTGTCGTTTATGTGGACGGCAATTTTTTCTTCGTTCGTTTCGTTTTTCGACAGTACTCCCATGTTTGTCGTTATTTCACGTTCGAAGTCTTCACTTTCTTGTGAGCTGACCTCTCTGCCTTTTACTACGTTATCAGCCAACGAATGATAAAAAGTTTGCAACAGTTCGCCATACTTGTTACCAGCAAGCAGAAAGAACAGAGGGAGAAGGATAAAGACTCAGCATAGCCTCGTACCCCCTTCGCCCTAGACGCGGTGGGGGGGGGGCCCTGGGGGGCTTGGGGGCTGGGAGGCTGCACGCGGCCGCTAACCAGCACACTTGACAAATGTAACTGAGAGAGGGGCTGGTTTAAACCACCAGTTAGGCAGAGCATATTTTGCCGAGCAGATTTTACACCTATCTCGGGGTACAGTGGGAAGGGACGCACATGCAACCCGTTTGTGCTGGAAAAAAAAAAGAACTAACAATCATTATGGGCACCACCAGTTCACAGGAGCCTCAGTTGATGAAGCTACCTCCCAAGCCTTGCGAGCCTGCAACTGCGTGTTTTCAAAGTGCCCTGCCGCTTTTCCTACCGTCCCAGGCCCAAAGTGGAGGAGTCCTACCGCGTATGCCGGCAAGGCCTCAACTGCGGCTTGTGTGAACTGGTGGGTGGTTTAAGGCATCTTATATTATTCTGCAAATTGTTTTATATCTTTGGAATAAACCCTATAGGACTATTTTATCGAACTAACTCCACCAAGATTTGAACCCATAATCGGTTCGTTGACAGTCACATGTGTACCATTCGGCCATGTGGTACATTTTAAAGGCGGGGGAAAGCTGGACATGTGTCAGCTGTGCAGAC